AGGAGTCAAATCCAGAACTGTCCGGCTAAGTCCAGACTCAAATCCAGACCTGTCTGGTCAAGTCAATAATTAAGTCCAGAACTGCCTGAGCAGGTCAACAGTCAAATCGAGAACTGTCCAGTTAAGTCAACAGTCAGATCCAGAACTGTCTGGTCAAGTCAACAGTCAAATCCAGGACTGTCTGGTCAAGTCAACAACCAGATCCAGAACTGCCCGGTCGTCAAGAGCCGAGTCAAGAACTGCCCGATCAGGTCAAGAGTCAAGTCTATCAGCACAGACCTGCACAGCTGTTAAACCTATAGGGTACAGAAAATGTTCTGTCAAGGACGCTGACGGCACAGGCTAACAATTTCCAGCGCATTCAGCAGCTCCCAGCCGCCTGCTGATAGACGTGATCTGGCACATTGCATATGAAATGTTGCACGAGTCAAGACAAGGCGCGAAGCCCACACCCCAGATGGCGTTTTTAAATTTGATCCGAACCCTTCGAATGGACGGATTTTCGGGATCGGAGCGACGCTAGGCAGTGCTTGTGTGAGCCCTGACCCCTACATCCGATCGCCTCATTCCAACCAACGCGCAGAATTCAGTGGGCGAAACCTTAACGTGCCACAATGCTCGGCACGGTGTCTTGCCCTCTGTCAACTGACCTTTAGCGCGACCGCAGCCACCGGCCGCAGACCAGACCTGTCAGGGAAATAGTGAGCGCCTAAAGCGACTCGAACGCACCAAGCCACGAGTGGATGAATCGGGAGGCAGCCGCCCTAACCAACTGAGCCACCGGGGCGGGCACCGCTTCCACGTGATGATGCGCCACGCCCAGTAGGAGCCAGCACGACACGCCTCTCACCAGGGTTGAGCAGGCCGTACTTAGAATCCTGCGGCTGTAGCGGCTCCAGCGCCACGGCCCCCGCACCGGCCTCAGATGTCACGCGGGGCCGGGGTCTGACTTCACAGCTTCTGCGGCTGTCTCCGGAGCCGCGGCTGCTGCGCCTCCACGGCTCGGACTTCACAGCAAGTGGACCTTGCCCAGACTGCCAGTCAGGGCTCAGGCTTCATGGGAGCTGGACCTTCTCCTGATGTAGCTGTGGTCATGCTTTCAGAAGGCTCTGACTTCACAGCAACTGCACCCTCTCCTGACTTAGCAGTACTTATACTATCAGTAGGCTCTGTCTTCACAGCAACTGCAACTTCTCCCGACTTAGCAGTGGTTACACCTTCCTTTGACTTCACGGCAGCCGCACTTGCCTCTGAGTTCACATTGGCAGTCCCTGACTTCACAACAGATTGCACAGGTTCTGACTTTGCAGCAGCTACAATTGTCTCTACTGAGTAGCAGCATTTGCAGCAGGTTCTGACTTGATAGTAACTGGCCCTTCCCCTGATGGCAGAGGAACTGCACTGTTTGTGACCTCCTGGCAGCTGCACTTGTCTGTGGCTTCACAGCATCTGCACTTGTCTGTGACTTCACAGTTGCTGCACTTGTCTGCGATTTCACAGCATCTGCACTTGTCTGTGACTTCACACTGTCTACTGCCAGGCTTCACAGTCGCTGCACTTGTCTGTGACTTCACAGTGGCTGCACTTTTGAGCACAGCATCTGCACTTGTCTGTGACTTCACACACTGCACTGTCTGTGACTTCACAGAATCTCACTTATCTGTGGCTTTACAGCATCTGCACTTGTCTGTGACTCACAGTGGCTGCACTGTCTTTGACCTCACAGCATCTGCACTTGTCTGGACTTAACCAGAGGCTGCACTGCTCTGCGACTTCACAGCCGGCCACCCCCACCTGCGACGGCGCCGTTTCCTGCTGGGACCCGGCCTCCGCGGCGGCCGGCCCCTGACGGGGCGGCAGGTACGTCGGCAGTGGACCGGAATCGCTAGTCGCCCCATCTGGCGGCGGCGCTGCCGGATCGGCGGCGGTCTCCGCGGGTGTGGGCACGTCTGCTGACCCGACCTCCGCCGAGTCGCTGCCTGTAGCTATGCCTGCAGCATCTGCATGCTCATCTGAGATGGGTGGCTGCTCATCTACTGGAACATCAGCAGTGTTGGTTTGGTCTGTGCCCTGGTCTTCCACTGTGCCTGCAGCATCAGCAGGTGACTGCCTGCCATCACCAGAAGCTGGAGAGCCACTGGCAGCAGCTGGACTGGACCCCTCTGCAGGATCTTTGGCATCATCTGGAGATGACATTGGTTTGATCCTTGGTCTGCTCTTGCTCTTGTACTAGTCAGAACATTAATCTGGGAACTGCCAGCTGAAAACACATCATGATGTTATTTTCTGCAATATGCATTGCACTGATACAGTCATGCACAACCAGATTGCATTACTCTCTGCAGTAATATCACTTAGAATTAATGTCCAACTCATGTGACACAATTATTTTTCCCAGCACTCTCTTTATATAGTGGAATGCTTAACTTAAAACAGGTAATGGAATCCCAATTAAAAGTATCCAGAAGGTTCAACACCTAACACATGCAGGATGCCAAGGTATTGATATAATATGATTGTCCCAGTTGCCTGAGACAGCAAAATTAGGCTCCAAGGATTCAAGCCCCCTTTGATCCCTACAAGCTGTTGGCAACACCCCTGGTGGCACTGATTCATGGTAGCCTTGTAGTATATGGAAAGCATTGCTGATGCTATATGTAATGAGCATGAATGATTGATATATGTTTGCATAAATTATGTGTGGTAAAACATGAATGTTATCACCACTTTAAGCTGGTAATAAATTTTATAACACAGGCAAAATTTCAGTTAAGTTTGCCATGCAACACATGGGGCTTGAGCACAGGCATGGGAACTTCAAAGGTCAGGGAAGGGGACAGTCCTAGACTTCCTACCACGCCACTCAACATTGTGCATGTGGAGCACAACATGACAAATTGGATGCAGTTAGACAGCTGCTGACATTAACCACAGGCATGGGGCTCAGTGTCGCATTTGGCAAGTAACAACACAGGCATAGAGAGGGGAGAAGTGGACAGTTGCTGCTCAGAAGGGGGTAATTCTGAAAAAATTACCATCCCACCCCAACCTATTACTACCCAATGCAGATAATGATGAACATTAAATCTAACATTCAAAGGTAGACCAACAATATCTTCCTCTAAGGCATTGACGATCACCACGGACGAGAAACTGAAGCCAACAGAACGATGTTTGCCTGACCCGTGAGCTTTTGATCGCTTGTGATAACTTATCTTTGAAGCCATATCAACCGTAGAAAATGCAAAACGCACCTTCCCATCTTACTTCACTGTCCCACTGCCCAAATGCAGCCAGGGCCCACTTCACCCTCCATAGCCCCAGTGCCCCCTGCCAGCCGTATTAAACGCCGCGCTGCCTCGACGTTTGTTTGTTTACATCGCAAATATGCGGCAAGGATAACATAATTAAAGTTCAGATGATAACTTTGCCTGGCACTATGAGACCTTTGATGACGTCAAATAAATAAAACCGAGATTTGACCATTGGCGATATCAGGTTTGTCAACTTCGATTTGACAGGTAAACGAAAAGACTCCATCTGATATTTATCAAACTGACGAGCTGTGTTGCATGGATGCTTTCCCTTAACTTAAGGATGTTGTGGCACATGGTCCAATGCAACTATGAATAATGATTATAACCACAACTCCATTGATGCCAGCATTCACAAACATACAACCATCGAAGCTCCAGCAGCCCCTATCATCGTCGGCAGTGGGAATCCCATGTACGTGACCTCAAGACCCCAGAAGTGCGTGTACCCCTCGATATGCTAGCATGGGCGGTGAAATGGGAGGCTTGAAGTTGAACGATATACTCACGGCAGTGCACGGGAAGCAAAATGACTGGAATTATCTATTTCGTCAATTATCTGCGTGGTGGAAAAATCCCAATTAAAAGTTCGTTGGGGGCGGGTAAACCTGGATTTTAATTTCTTTATTTCCATGCAACACCATCTAGGGGTCTTTCAGGGCTGGGTCGGGCATTGTGACTCTCACATCCCCCGCCCCCAATTCATAAGCCATTGGATATCAACACTTTGATCATCAGATCCCGGGTCCCTCGGTCCCAGGACAAGCTAAACTCCAAGCAAAACCAGAAGACGGCTATCAAGTATACGCCAGTGCCAGTGGCGGATCCGGAGCGGGTCCATGAGGCTATGCCCCCCTTGGACTGCGGGGCACCAAAATATCGTGGTGAAGGGCCACACAAATTTTCATTTCGGGTCCACATGACGTATACTTTAAAGACGTACCAAAGTTCAGGTACACTTCAAACGGACCCAGTTGTTCAAGTTCAACATAAAAAATTGACCTCTTGAAATAAAGTGGACAATTCCGGGGAACCACTGAAACGGACGATATTGTATCACTTAAAAAACGCGAATCAGAATGTGGAATAGCCGAAGTCCGGGGACTTCTTTGAGAGAGGGGGAGGAATGCATCTAGTTCCAGGGACATCACAACGAGGCACGAACGGCCCCTCCCATATGAAATCCTGGATCCGCCCCTGCTCAGCGCACATACTTGAAGCACAGTAAGTGACTTTTATGTTGTCACGGCTGAGGTCCGCGCCCTCGACTGCTCCGATGGTCCCTTCAAGCTGCCTTCAGCCTCAACAATCCTACTGGCGGTCACCTGACCTGGACCAGTTTAACCCTCCTTTGTTTTGAACTGCGTCAAGGCTCCTGGGTATCCCCATGTAGGTACATTAGATGGCCCTATGACTCCAGATGTGCGCACATCGCTCATATGAAGCAGCCTCATTGAAGGGAGTGTGTTATAAAGAAGAATTCATGCTTCCGTTTATTTGTTGCTCTGCACAAGTCGCGTTCACCACGTGGTACACCGATGCCATCATGGAGTGGTTTTAAGTCGATTGATATCATTTGCTCTTCAAATGTCGAGTGTGACATGATGCATAAAGAAATTTTCAAAAGCCTGCTAGGTGGTCCGTGACAACCATTCTCATAAGACAGCTCACATGCAACGCGAGTGCATCTAAACACACCAAGAAGCGTCACCTAAAGCGCACTTGCAGCAAGTCAACAACGGCGCTGGCTCAGAACTGGCAGCGTTCGTAGCGGCCGCGTTCGCAACAGAGCTTCGGCTGGAACTCGCCAGAGTGGTGCGGCGCGTGATCGCACACGGCGTGGAACACGCCGGCGGTGAGGCCACGCGTCTCGTCGTGGCCGAGGCTGGCGCAGGCCGCGTCGCCCAGCTTCTGGCCGTCGACGAGCGCCGACCAGGAGCCCTGCGCCATTAGCACGTCGGTGGACACCTTGCACTCCTCGCGACAGAGGCGCTCGCCGTCGGCGTCGCAGCTGAACGATAGCATCGGCGGCAGGGTGACCAGCACGTTCAGGCCTCCGTCTTGGTGTGTGCCGAGCGAGCAGAAGCAGCGATGGTGAGAGTCTGGGGTGGTAGACCGGCTCGGTTCCTGGGAGGTGGTGCTGGGTGCTGGTGTTGTGGTGGGTGCTGGTGTTGTGGTGCTGGGTGCTGATGTTGTGCTGGGTGCCGGTGTCGTGGTACTGGGTGCTGGTGTCGTGGTGCTGGGCACCGGTGTCGTGGTGCTGGGTACGGTGTCGTCGTGCTGGGTACGGTGTCGTGGTGCTGGGCCGGTGTGTGGTACTGGGTGCCGGTTGTGTGGTGCGGTGCTGGTTGTGTGGTGCTGGGTGCGGCGTTGTGGTGCTGGGTAAGGGCGTGGAGGGTGCCGTGGAGGTCGGCTGGCTGGTGGTGGTGCTGCTGGGCCGCCACACGGGTGATCTAGACCGTGGCCCGTGTACGACGATGTCGTCGATGGCGACCTGGTCCAGCGGGTCTGTCCGCCTCCCTCCGAAGATCGAGAGCTGGGAAGGGGGCACGGCTGCTGTAACTGCTGACACTGCTCGCTGAATGCTGCCCGTCCCGCAACCAAACCAGCAGTTAACCATGCAACCGATGTCAAGAACACAGTCAAGGCGGTAAAAAATAAGACAGAGAAAGATGCATTGCCATGGACGCCATTTTACTTTCAAGTGATGCATTCTCTTTTCACGCATCGACTGAGGTTTTCAGTCATCAGTATTCAGTGCATGCATAGCAAAAGTTGCAGGGCAAATTGGGAGATGAATTGCATTTGTAACTCCCCAGCACTTGGTTTTGTGAAGTTTCGCGTGTACTAACGATCAGCCTAAAGCTAGGGAACAAGGACGTGTATGCAAAACGTCTGTGAAAACACTCCTTTCCGCAAAAATAAAACTTCTCGTCGTTCTTCCGATTGCCTTTCCCAAACAGTAAGTTCTATTGCATACATTACGA